TCCCTATGGATTATTTCCTTCTCTAGCTTAATTTCTAAATATAGATCATAGATCCTTTATCACAACAAAAAGCAAATACATGTGGCAGGCTAATTCCAGTCCTGAGAACAGAAGATCCCTTGTCTGTCCCACAGAAGATGGATGTCCCCATCCATCAATTTAACCACAGTTCGCTGAAGCCCATAGCACAAGGTATTTTACAAACATTTCTGCTAGTAAAAATGCAGAGCAGAAAAACAATCCATGTGGCAGAGCACTTATGTCTCTCATATCATACTTGGATTGTAAACCCAGGAGAGAGCAAGGAAACAATGAGACTATCAGTCTCTTTAAAAAGCAGCAAGAAGTGGGCTGCAATAGTCTATAAATTTAAAAATGGCAGAATTGTTAATGTGGAAGGCTTAAAATTTGACTTAAGATAAACCATGTGCATCTTCTAGGTGCTTGTGCAGAATTTCTAACTTTGTACCTGGAAATGCCTGGAGTTAAGTAAACACAGTAACCTGACAGTTACACAGAGCACCAGAAGGAGTAACATTTAGAAGTCATTCTAGGTAACCTGGCTTCAGTGCAACATTAGCTGGTGGATACTCTGGAAGGAGATAAACATCCACTATTTCTGATCTAGCAAAGATAGAGCGTAATTACCTTCCCTAGTCTGGGTGAAACATTTGGCCTCCTTTAGAGATGGGGCTCCTGTAGCTTTACAACTGTAGGTTGTACAGATCTAAACAAAAATCTAAGGTAGGCAAAACTCCACCTGTCTTGTAAATAGCGCTCAGATTCTAAAGAGAGCATAGTGCAGGCGGCTTTTGTTATACCTTCCCACCAACATCACAGAGGTGAAAAAACAGTTTTTGCTGGTGATTGAAAAATGAAGAGCCGTGGTGCCAAGGTGAATATGCAGTCCATGAAATGCCTACCTATTAGAGGGTGTGGATGCCACTTCAGGAGTTGAGGGAGTAGAAAAGAAACTAGTCTCATTCTTTTGTTTAGTCTCATCGTGTATTAATTTGTCCTCTTTGTGTCTTTGTTCCAATTTCTGCTCTTCATCTCTTGACAGAAGACTTGCTAAAGATGCAGCCAAGAAGCTGCTGTCTGTACCAAACAAGAAACAAAACCATACCAACTTAACCTTTTATGTTTAGGCTTCAGAGACTACAGTGATTAAAAACAATCTCAGAACTGTCTTGGTCTGTCTCATCCCTGAAGAACTGCGTATAAAAGACTTGATTATGGCAAAGTGGTCCTAATATGAGCACTCCACTCTACTTTAGCCTGAGAAATCATCATATGCAGGAATCTAAATGTTTCAGAGCTGCTAAAATTTGCTGTCCTATCAAAGCTCTTGGACAGGTATTAGCCTCCTGGGTTAGCTACTTGGATTGAAGTTCAGAGACCAAAAAAAAGGCCAATGACCACACAGAGACTGGAATTAAAGTGATCATACAAATAGCAGCAGCGAAAAAAAGCCCAAAACACACTCCCCATTCCAAACACTTAAAATGAAAAGGTTTAGACTGCATTTATATAACTCACCGAAATTGCAAAACAAAAAGGTATGCAGTCTAAACACAGTTAAGAGGAAGAATAAGACAAGAACTTCCTTCCTTCCCCAGTGACAGATCAAAAGAGAAAAATATGAGTTTGCAAGATGAGGTAAACCAAGCATTGTTGCTGCAGAAGAAGGTAACGAGTGAACAAATCTAGATTTGAATCTACAACAATTCTTCTATTTAGTAAAGGCTGAAGGACAACAATGCTTCCTCACTGAAGAACTGAATTACCCTAGATTAGAGGCATCACTTCATCAAAGAATTACCTAAGAAATTGCACACTGTGTACTAACTCTTCTTTGTTCCAGTAGTGTGCGTTGCTTAGAAATGCACATCTGCATTGAAACCAAAGAAAAGAGAAAAGGCAAACAGGAAAAAAAAAAAACCAAAACAACACAAAAAAACGAAGGAGACAAAATGAGCATAAAAGGTCTTTTGCAATACAGATGAAAGTATGCACTTGCTTGTGTTCTCTGTTTTGGGCAGAGCTAGCTGGAAAGACAGATTTGGAGAGATGAGGCTTCCTTGCTTCTGTTTATTGCTGTTGTGTCCAGAGAAATAAAATTTTGATAAATTCTTTGTAAACGCAGTGAACTGCATCAGAAGAATATGTGATGCCTCCTGACTTAAACACCACAGCAACATAACATTAAATATTAGCCAGCAACATGAGCCAATTCAGAATATTATTAGAATTTTCCCTTAAAATATTAGTCCTAGGTATCTATAGCTCTGCTGCAATACCGTCACAAAAGCGCTGTTTTACACGTCTTAAGATACTCTGAGATCCTCACAGGAGAGGGAGGGAAAGGGAAGTGCTTGTTAAGTACAAAGCATTCTCGATGAACAGTGTAATTTCCAACTTGGATATTCAGTTTTGTCTTCTTAGCAACAAAGAAAGAAGCACAACCTTAGGTGAACAATTCTGTTTACCTTAGGTTATAGTGGAAATCCAATTTGAAAACTGCACAGAGGTACATTGCTTTTACAAAGCACCTTCTCACGTTCATAGGCAAATCTCTCGACTATTTGTTTTACCTTTGTTACAGCAGCCAGAGCCAGTTGTACAGCAAGCAGTAACATCTTCAAAGATGCACTCACCTTTTGTCCCTGTGGAGTCGTCAAGAGGAGGAAATGGCAAAGAACAGTCACTGCTTCTCTCCATGTTGTTATAGAAACCAGGGATCAGGAATGTAATGTTCTAAAACACAGAACAAAACCTCATAAAGCTAAGCTGGCTCTCACAGGTTGGGGGCAAACGCTAACAATCCGTGTTTGTCAAGCTAACTCTCATGGATAGCCAGGCAAAAGCGATCCACATGACTGATGGAGAACACATAAGTGCACACCTTGCTTTGGGCTACTTGAAATCCATGCTAGAGCTCCTCAGCACTGCAAGACTTGGAATCACAAATTCCCTTGCTGTAATTTCTATCGAACAAGTGGAACACAGAGGTTTTGTGACAGACAGAAATGAGGGTAAAAAACGACTTTACAATTCCAATGGATATGCTGCCAGACATAGCAGTCTTTTGGGAGGGATTAAAACTCCTATCTTACCTTTCCCAACAGTTCTTTCTTCTCATAGCCAAAGAGCATTAAAGCAAAGCTATCCTTGATGCCACAGATGGTTCCATCTGACTGGACAGTAATAAGACCACTGATGGTGGAGAAAACCACAACTGTAGCAGAGTAATGACAGCCTGTGAAAGAGTCGTCTTTTTCTGTCTGCGAAACACCATCTTTCTGCACTGCCGCTTGGTCCTCCTCCAAAAGGCTTACTTGCAGCTTTAAACTGAGAGGAAACATGTTACCCTCTCTGGATTGGCCTACAGCTCGCTGGATCTTGAGATTCTAAATTAAAGCAAAAAAAAAAAATCCAAAACAAAACACAAACAGAAAACCTCTAACCAAATGTTTTGGGTTTATTTCAGTATTTATATAAAATTAAACAGGAACATTCTCAGGAAAAGGGAGCAGGGGGGCAAAAAAAAAGTACCAATCCTGTGAATATCAAAATGAACAAAGTCTCATTTTCTAAGGATTTGGAATCCCGTGTTGAACTCCTGTATGAATATCCTGATGAAGACCACCAGGAAAGTCCTTTTCAGCAGCTTTTCAGCAAACGAGACGTTAATAAGGCCTCTTTCAACTATCTAGCTGCCCGCTTTCATGGCATTTGCAAGACCTGGGCATTCTTTAGACTTTCAGTCCTCTGACAGACATGACTGAAAACAGCTAAAGAATTCAAAGGAATTTTAGGGGGCTGACAGAGACAGCATGGTTTCTTAAAAAGCCAGGATTGGAGAAGAAAAGTCTTTCATCAGGACAGATTCCACAGTGAGAGATCAGGACTTGGTCTCATTCTTAGTTAGGAAATACTCAGACAGTAGCTCCATAAATAAGCAGTATACCCTTTTTCAGGGGACTTATGCTTCTCTCTGAAAAGGCTTTCTTCTGTTACAGGAGGAAAAACAGTGTGCACCTATGTTCCAAACAGGAAGGGTACAGAAGAATGTGGTTGGTGCTTATACTGTACCTTTGGGGTTTTTTTGCCTAGAGGAGGGATCTGCACAGAAGGAATCAGGTCCTTTATGTGGAGCCCAACTACTTCTTCCAGTGTTGGGTAGCCATGGAGATGGGCAAAAAGGAGGTCACATGATGTAATCTCTCCCTTGGGAAGAAAATTTACAAGCTGATTTTAATTTTGGCATTTTAGCCACAGTCCACTCAATCCCTTAACAAGAGTTTATGCAAATATCTAAGCAAATGGCAGGAAGTTTCATTCTGCAGTCTCTTCATGGACACAACTACCTCAGTAAAAGCAGACACAGCATAACGCAATACTTCTCTGACATTATTGCGCAGAGAGCCTGCCCCTCGCTGTAGGGGAGAAGCAGGGGAGTCCAACACTCCTCAGAGAACTTTTCCTCAGCAAGCTGATCCCTCCACAAGGACATCCCTGCCATGAATAACCAACCCCCTGCCAAACTGTCACTGTTCAAATCCCCGGAGTGGACAGTGTATTTTAATGTGACTTGTCAAATATGTCAAGGTGAGCCGCATGGGAGATGCATGCGCAAGTCCTGCATGTGCAATCCCGGTTTCAGGCAGAGCTACGTACACACTTCACTGTCACAAATAGTAACGTGCCTGCTGGCTTTCAGACACGTTTCGTTCACACATAAACTCTCACAAACTGTGGTCTCATTTGATCATTAGGAAAACACTCACATCAACACTGAAGGAAACAGAAGCTGAAAGTCTTTCCACTGGTTCCAGCACAACCACACAACACTGGTTGTCCTTGCTTCTCATTTGCCTCAGCCAGACAGAGACAGGGATCTTCTCTTTGAGACGGCCTGTAAGATCCACCTTTCCATAGGATTCAGAGATGTAGCCATCATTTACTAAGACTGTTACTCAGCAAGATTTTCAAACAAGAATAAGACATTGAGCCAAGATATCACCCCATCATTCTTAGAAAAACATTGTTTCTTGACTACTTACTAGTTTTTTATTGGAAGAAACACAGTTTTAACATAGAGAGGAAAAGGTTTGCAAGCAATTCACTGATCATACACAAAGTGTCGTTGCTTTTGTATCTTCTCTTCCTGCCTCAGGAAGACTAGAGGCATTTCCTTCAGCATAATAAATGTAGCTCTAATACCATGCATTCAGTGAGAAGTGTCTTTCAGAAATGCCTTAAAGTACATTCCATGGTGCTAATGAATACTCCACATTAGTAACATAGTTATTGCTTTCAGCTGCAAAAATAGCAGTTTAATTTCTTACAGGAGGAAATGCTTCTCAAATCAGAAAATCTTTATTTGTCTTATAACCTGCAGTGTTCATATCAAGCCTTTTATCATTTTTTTGCATGATCTTGACAGAATGGGTTTATGAATTACACAGCGACTCCTATAAAGTACTTGGAATGGCTGTAGCTTAGAATTAGTGCCTTTGTCAGACATTTAATTTTAACCCTGGATTTCTCCAAATCAAACTTCGATTTTTTTTTTCCCCCATATCCAATTCAGGATTCAGGAAGATCATGCTCTGAGATGCCGACAATTTCAGTCCAAAAATAACACACCAGGAAGAATATGAGTTCATTTTCCAAGTATTTTCTAGTGACAGCTGGTAACAGCAGCAAAAGAAAATAATTTTGAGACATTTCTCATGCAGTTCTCTTATAAAGAGCCCCACTATAGGCAAAATATCAATTCCACTCTTTTGCACCAACTAGGCTGTTTTGGCACAGACATTTCACAGTATTTGACTTGTAACTTTACAATATGCACAATGCTATTTAAAATAATTTTGAAAATATTTTGAAAGATCAGACAATAGGGAACTTTTCCATAGTAGGTTTTTCCATATTAAGCAATTTTTTTTATTTTTTTTTAAATCTAATGTCCTTCAAGTTCTGATTTGGTCAAGTCATCATGACTATACATGTTGGCAGCTGCCAGGCTCTTGCAGGTGCCTCTCAAACCATCTTTTGTCCCTTGAATTCCCACATCTGCAAATTATTAAACCAAACACTCCTACAAATGACATAATTGCCAAATGGCCACAAAGTTAAATATATCAGGAAATTATATTGAAAATGTCAAAAAAAAAACCCAAACCCAAGCCTACAGGAACACTGTATATGGTGGGGAATATTTTGTTGAACATTTCACGTACCACAGTTCCTGAAACCACCGATGAACATTCATCTGTTTCTATATACTCCTCCCCCACGGCTTCCCATACCTCTTGACTGGATCTGGATATCAAACGGGACAGCTTTTGACCAATGAGTTCCTGACTACTGCACCCAAGCAGCTTGCAGGCTTTGTCATTAGCTACTAGGATCTAGAAAAGCAGAAAAAAACCCAAACCAAACAAAACAAAGAATAAAAGCTGTAAGTTTTGTTAATAGATCATCATCTCCTCAGGCTGTTCCTTTAATGTCTTACAATATCCCTTCCTCTTGGTGGAAATGGAGTGGTTCTTTAAAATTCTGAATTCTTCAAAACCAGTTCGCTAAAGCTTTTTATTCTAGGACATCCCTTGCCCACATGTCTTCTTGGTTTAGAGGGTTTGAGACGCTACTTTCCTTTCAGGTTTCCTGCTTTCTTTTAACTCTAAATAATCACACCCATGGAGGCAAAACTACAAGGTTGTATTTGCAAGCAAAACCTGGGCAAGACACAAAATTTTACCCACACCTGAAGGCATGCAGTAATCGCACCAGTCATTGACATACTTAAGCCTGTGTTACAGGGCAAGTCAGGATTAAACGCCTCTTAGATGGGTAAGCCTGAACTGTCAGTTCAAGCCAAAAATGGCACAGCTCTTTAAAATTTTCAGCACTCAATTTTATATTAACGTTTACTCTCAGGACAGGGGTTTGTGGTGGTACAAGGTCTCTTTCTCTCCCTCTCAATGCAAAAAGACATATTTCCTGGGGCAGATAAAGAGATCTTGTAGCACCACAAACCCATCCCAGGGTTGGCACTTAACAGGCAAAAGGCATGAAGCACACTCTACTTTTCCTTTCTTCCCTCATGATTCTTCACAGCTGCATTCGTCTTTATTCCCTTTTTCTGTTTGAAGAAAGACTCAAGACATCTGTGCTTCTGCTATTGTCTCGTATATTTTGCTAAGCACAACCTGCAAGAGAAATAAACGCCTTGCCAGTCTTTAGAAGACTACTGAGCTTGAGCAGACTATAAAATGCCTTCATGATGCTTTGATTGCCTACAGATACACCTAAGAATAACAGGCATTTCAGCTTGTTTGATGTCATGCAACCTATACCAGTTACAGACCGCTTATTTTAGCATTTACTACTGCAAATACCTCTGTTGTGTTGACATCCACGGTGAAGATGGCTTTGTTTGGATTGCGTGCAGCAGTTGGGAGGTGCTGTTTGGATTCCTCTGCTGTGAGGGCATGCAAAAAGGAGGAAGAAGCAGAACTTCCAACGGAAGCAGAGATAGAGGCAGAATCCCACTGAGCCCATGAGTTACCAATTTTGCTGCTGCAGATGTTACGGGCTGCCAGTGAAGACAAACAGTAAGAGCTCCATTTCTCCCCTGTGAGAAGATAAAGATCAGCTATGTAGCTATAACAGTCTACTACAGGAGTATTAGAGGAATGAACAAAAAAAAAAACATTAGTTGTCAGCCAAAGCAACTGTCAAGTAATCCCAAAATATATGCTTCTAGATTCTTAAAGAAATTATAAGAAAATAAAATCAATGAAACTAAAGAAAACAGAAACAATTCTAATAAATGTATCTTTTTGAATCATGGCCGCTGGAACAACAAAACTCAGTCCATAGGCTAGAAAAAATTGCCAACATCCATAAGATTCAACCAGACTAGTTAACTTTTATTTTTCACTTACCAGAGTTTAAAAGGCTTTGAAATCTTTCAAGCTAAAATTGAAACTGTTATTAAATATAATTACAGTAAATGTTCAAGCCCTTATTAAATACTGTATTAGTCATAAGCCAGTTCATTAACTGTTCACAAGACATGACACTGAAATACCTGTGCCCACACCAACATTTTATGTTACGCAATGCCAAGTGATTGTACTAAAATTTTCAAAGGTTCTGCCTGTAAAAAAACCATTTCCCTGAGAAGTGGCATCAGCAGCCAAATGCCATTGCTCCACTCCCGAAACAGTAAGCAGCTTTGGAGGTTTAGCAGTACTGGAAGAAGCATTATGAACAACCCATCACAAGGACACCTCTATATTTATGCGCTACATACAGTGTGAATATACTCACTAGGATAAAACAGGGAGACCCGCATCTGGATGCATTGTAAACTGCAAAGTTCTTCCCCTGCTAAGAGAATCCAGTATAACAACATCTTTCTCCTCATTTGGAAATTTTTCATGGTTTAGATAATAATCCAAGATGGCAGGGTGGTCCAATGGCAGCCAATAAAGGTTGCCTAGGGACAAGTACAAGTGCAGAGCACCTATCCAGCAACGCATCCCCTGCAAACTGTCCCAGCCTGCAGTAATCTATGGCTCAGATACTTATTGAACCGGCGCTTTCTGGCAGCTACTTATTGCTATGGCCTCTAGGTTTGGGGTAGGGGAGGAGGAAGGTCTGAAACACATAACCTTCACCGATGACACATGAACTCAATCTCAAAATACTGGGCTCACCAGACAGAGATGCTCTAAGCCGACAGAGTTCAGAGAGCTGACTTTTCCTGCTTTTGCTGGCCCAGGGGTAGGATCTACTTAGCTTCTCTGAGTCACTCAAGTGAGCAAGGACTAAGCCTACTGACGAAGGCCGAAGGCCCCGTTCAGAGGGGCTATAAGCCTCAGCTGCCATGATCACACTCTGGTTGCCACGCCACACCTAGGAAGCCACCATCTGTAACAGAAACATAAGAAATTCAGTCAGCTTTACAGTCAGACACTAACTCTCAGGACACTGGCAAGTAACAATGCCTTCTAATCCAAAGCACAGCCCTGTAAGTTACAGCAAGACTGCTGCCCATTTTTGTGTGTCCCGATCAATGTTTGATCTGTGTTGTTAACATAAAGGTGACTCTATTGACTATTATCCTGCCCAGGTGGTATAGGATACCCGTGATCCACAGGACACCTCCACCACATTTCTGTGAGAGCTACCAGCTAGCCAGCCGGCACCCTCTTCCTATTCCTGCTCGTTTTAAAAGCAAAAGCTTTAGCAATTTGGGAAGCAATCCCCAGTTTTGAGTCAGCAGAAGTATAGCATAGCCTCCCTCCCACCCAGGATGCCGCCCGCACCTCCCAGCCTCCCAGGGCTGCAGACGTAGCCCGCCAGCAGCGGGGGCCCGGGCCCGGGCCCACGGACAGACACCACCGCTCCTCAGGGCGGTCACCACACAGCCGGCGGGCGCGAGGAAGTAGGGGACGGCACTCATCAGCCGCGTCGCCCAATAAGCGAAGGCAGTGGGAGAGCGGCACGGAGGGGAGCCAATGGGGCGCCGGCGCGGGAGGAGGCAAAACTGATCCAGGCTCAGGGAATTCGCGGCTCGCTCCGGCCTCTCCTTCCCCCGTCACGACCACACGCGATGCCCTGCTCCGAGCCGCTGACCCCAGGCAGCCCCCATAGACTTGCCCCGGGCTCGCCGGAAGTGCAAAGCTTCAGGTGGAAGGCCCCTCCGCAGAATGACAGCTATCCTCCGGAGAATTTGTAGGCGGAAGAACGAGGTCGAAAGCAGCTCGTAACGCCTCAGGCCCGAAGCGCTGGTGGGGATGGAGCAGATCGCCAACTGCTGCAGCAGCGCCCAGCGCTACGACCGCTTCCCGCCCTGCTCTCAGAGAACTACAATTCCCAGAAGGCCG